TTTTCAAGTCTCTGGTTTTGTAATGTTCTGCCTCATTTATAGATGTATTAGAGGGCTACTGTTGGTATGTAAATGGTATTATGTAACCTGCATTTGTATAATTGGGAAAGTTTTGATGTTTTTTTGCTTGAGGTACTTGTTAGGTCTAGCTTGTAAGAACTGTACCTTTTATCTAACGAAAATTTTCATTATATAGTCCCTTACGACTTGTTTGGTTGGTTGTAATGGCTGTTGCAACATGTAATGCTAAGATATTTCTGAATTGGTCAAAACCAGAAAATAAGAGTTGTAAACCAAAGACTATGGACTGACTGACTGAATCAAATATTTGAGGACTTAATTGATTAAACCTAAAAGTAAGAGTTAAAAACAGAAGAAAAAATTAGTGTTTTATTATAATTACTATCCTTTGTACGTCGTTTTTCAACAACAAAATTGTATTTTAATCTGGACTGCTCGCATAATCAGACTAATGTACTGCGATAATGTCATTACACTGTACTTTTTTACATAGTCTAGGTTGAAAACAGATTTGATTACGAAAAATCAGTATATTTTTATAATTAAAATGTTAAGAATAATAATGAGAAAAATTTTAATACTCTTAATAAATTAATATGTAAAAAAATTTATTAAAAATATTAAAATAAATTTACACAGTTGTAATGTTTTAAATGTTAAAATATTTTAATTTTTACTTTTTTTCAAAATAGATTATGTTCCAATCCAAGAACAGAAAAGTCTTTTTATAATTTGTCCTGCAAAAAATCAGTACAATATTGGAAAAGTAAAAAAATACCCTTCATAAATTATAGGTGCATGAGTTATTGTTAATGGCATTTCTATCTCTTAAATGTAAAATTGAAATATTATTATTTAATATCCTATTATTAAAATAAAAGGTAAAATAACTAAATTAAACCATCCATATTTAAATCGTACTAGAGTATATATATTTTTTGTTTGTGTACAAAATTGTCACAAGGGTGCTGCTATAGGGACCAAAGGTCTCCTTAACTTTTTTATTGTTCTTTTAAATAACTATGAATTTTTGTTTTTTTATTCTTATTAGTTTTTATTTTTATTTTTCAGTCTCAATTGACTTTAATTGAACTCATAAGTCATAACCCTAAAATAATAAATGCTATATAGTAAACTCTAAATACTAAATCTTAAAACTATAATAAACCTTAACATTCAAAATTTTAAACTCTAAAAATTTAAACCCTAATACCTTAAATATTAAATTTTAAAATCCTAAATCTTGCAAATGACCTAAATAACTTAATAGTAATCTTCTTCCACCGGAAATAAGTGATTCTGAGTTTGAATCGCATGGCATACGAGTGAAGTGAGATAAGGAATGAAAAAAAATTACCTCTCATTGTGCAACCAACAAATAAAAAAAAAAAAAAAACCTAAACCTTAACATCTTAGACGTTTAATCCAAAAAAATTCTAAACTCTAACCCTCTAAAATATTGAATCCTAAAAAATATAAATCATAACATCATAAACATCAAATTTAAAAAAATCTAAACCATAAATAATATTTAATCCTAACACCTTAAACTTTGAACCGTAAAAATATAATCTAAACCCTAACATTACAATCACTAAACCCTAAAAAATCTAATTCCCTATCTCCTAAATTAAAATAATCTTATTTAATTTTAATGTCAAAGACTTAAATAATGTCCTTTAAAGACAAAGACTTAAAAATTATAATCCTATAAACTTTAACCCTTATAAAATAGGAATTAGTTATGCCCTTTCTTACATCAAGGAATCAAACGGACATGGCAATCCCACGTCCGCCCGGCCTACTGTCCGCCTAAGGAACCTTCCGCGACAGTAGCACTACTCTGCTCACTACTCAAAGTCAATTAATAAGGCCCCACCATGTTGAATCGTACCCATTTAGAAAATTAAAATATACTCGTAAGTAAACAAGGAGAGCTCTGCAGATATCGCGAGAGGTCTCTTTTTTGACTGTCAAAAGTCGCCAGAACTCGTAAGTAAACGACTTTTGGATGCAAATTTCTTCTCTAACCCTAATATAAATTTGGTAATAGGGAAGGTATTTTCTTCCCAGGTGCGGAGTGATCGTTGAATTTCTAGAGAAAATTTTTGTTAAGGAAAATCCATGGCAGAGTCCAATATTGGAGGCAGCAAAGGTTATGAAAAAGGGCAACTCGTCATTGAAGATGGTAAGTGTCAAACTTCATTTGTATATCTTTGTTTCTCCTTATAATATTGTCATTTTTTTTAAAAAAAAAAAGTTTCATCCTTCCATAATTTTCACTTCACTCTTTTGGATTTTGATTTTCGCTGTAGATCCAGTTGATTGGAATATGGATGAATTACTCAGTTACTTGCCGGATCAACAGACAACAGACCCTGAGCAAAATCTACAGCAAGGATTTGATCCACCTGCAGGCCCAAATGGATGTCTACCAGAACCGTCGATATATCCTGCGCCCAATGAGGCTGCCGCATCAACACCGTGGCCGATCGCACAACAATATTCAGGTCAATCCCCGGGAACATTCCCTGGGAATCCTTCTTCACAAATACCAGATTCTCTTCTCAAAAAAAGAGGGTACAATAAAAAATACAGAGCTAACCTAAAGGTAAAGATCTTAGATCTCTGTCTCTTTTCCTTTGCACTTTATGAGTTTACTCTTAAACTTTTTTCATATATTGTATGATACAGAGAAAAAGGCAGGAACTTGAAGGGCAAAAGAAGTCATTTGAGGCTGAGAACGAGAGATTGAAGCGTGGGAAGCAGGAACTTGAAGAGCAAACGAAGTCATTTGAGGCTGAGAACGAGACATTGAAGCGTGAGAACGAGACATTGAAGGGTGAGAAGCAGGAAC